TCCTTTTCCTATACTTCCACCCCAAGGCGTCTTCTCTACACCATCTGTTCTTACGTCTCCAAACACGAATGCGGATTATTACTCACGGTATGCTCGCCTGCCATCTTCAAATTCTCTTTCGAGCGATTTGTCGGTTGGTATTGAAAAGGATTTCCGGGTTGTTTCTTGGGAAGAGTTGAGGACCTTGCTTCCAGAAGCCCCGTCCGATGGAAGAGTGGAGTCCGGCCTTCTTTCTGACGGCCGAGCTTTTGCGCAAAAAACGGCAAGAAAAGACAATTATTTCTTGTTTCCTTCGAAATCAGCATACATCCTCTACTTTACGTAAGTGTCCGTGTTTTGTTGTCTTGTTCATAAGCCTGACCCACTCAGATTTTACCAAAGTCATTCCCAAATCATTTCGGTATATTATCACGCTCACTGATTTTTAACTTAGTACCCCGTATTAAGATAGTAACTGATAATATCTCGAATAGTGGGCCGCTGGTCCCATGCTTGGTCTATATTAGCTTGTTTTCCCGAGCTCAACGCATCGTTTTTTTTACAGGCATTATTATTTTTCACGTGAAAACCTCGATCGCGATCAAACAATACGAAAATTGATGACAGATAACGCTGCAGTACCAATTGAGAAAATAATTGAGGCTCCTCGTTTGGCATCAATTGGAACAACTGTTGATGACATGAAGAAAGCTATTGAAACCTGCAGCAATTTACTCTGCTTAGTTAATTCCTCTGATGGACGGTGTTTTGTGAGGCGTATCGACGGATGTAAGTTAACTTTTAGTAGATTGCGTTTATAATCATATATGTAATTCCTGAAATCGTCATTATTGTTCCAGACCCAGGAAATGCACCATCTCCATCTAACACTGGCGGTTTGCCTTTGGATGCCAAAACGCGGGCCTCCTTTGATGGCTCTTTGAGTAGTCTTGGGTTCTCTGATCATGCTTCACCAGCAGCTTCAGTTGACCCAACGTTGAAGGATGAGGTCTCTACGACAATTCCTGGAGTTGTTGCCACGACAGTTTACAACTTGCAGTATGCGAACCCGGTGGATACGGGCCTGTATCAGCAGCCACCCGCCTTCATCCGCCCTACTGCGCGGCCACCTTCGGCTGCAACCATTAGCTCGACAATGGCTGCTGCGATGGCCGCTATGACTCTCGGTCAGCCGCCACCGCACCCACCCCCTACTACGCCGCATCTATTTAGTCATCTCCAACCTCAAAATCAACTTGCTGCCACCTTCGCTGTCTTAAGTCATCGGGGCACAGCACTAGCGCTTGCGAGTCACCTAAACCAGCAGTACAATACTGTTCAAAGTCGCGGGGCCACAGCTCCGCCTTCTCAAACCCAACAACAAATGTACCACCACCGGAGAACTACCCCTCCACCTCCGCCTCAAGCCGCTGCTGCAGCCGCCAACTTTTACCAATTTCCTCCGCCCCAGTTCTACGCCTTCCATCATCCACACGAAAACAATCCACCACCCCAATTCGCCGCTGCTGCTGCCTATCAACCTCAACATTACGATCAGTGGAGTGCAGACGCCGCAAATGCCGCTCTTGCTGCGACAGGGATTCAGCTACAATACGCACCACCACAACCGCACATGATGGTTTGGTCACACACCCAACCGCAGATAAAAACTTTGTCTCAGCCTCCTCAGGCCCCGCTTGCTCCACAGTCAACTGTACAATCTGCCGCCACATCAACCACTGTGGATGGTGCCGTTAGTGGTGGAAGCAGTGGCGGTGGTGTTCATCCGTGTGCAAAGGACGACCCTTCGATTGTGGCTGTGACGGATGCCAATGTGGATGCTATTCCCAAGAAGACAGCAGTGTCACCGCCGCAACCCCACTCACGGCCTAACAGTGGTGCAAGTGCAAAAGGTAAATTCAAGTCTTCTAAGGGCGGCGGCGGACACCACCAGAGGCCGCTGCACGTTAATCGCAGTCCGCCAGCCGCCTCAAGCGCAAAAGAGTCCACACCTGTAGGCATCAATGTCTCCACAGAGGAATAACTCGCCGTGTGCCCCCTCCCCACCCCCCCTCTTGCTAGGCTTATAGTTACACATACTCTGATCTCGTTTTATTCCCTCCATTTCTAATCATGCAAATCATACCTGACTCCTTCTTCCCTCAGATTGCTCTCTATTCCCCCAAAAAGAGTAGTTTTTATGTCATGTGATAAAGCAAAAAAACCTGGATCCTCTCCATCCCATTTATGCAAAACGGCGAATCCTCCTCACCTGATTAATTGACAAAAAAAATCATGGCCTTGTGTGCGTCTGGAACTACGAATCGTCATTTTTTTGTGCAACAACGCGGCGACCCAATTGAGAGTTCGACTTGGAGGTGTCGAAAGGAATGGCGCGGCGAACTGCTCCAGCTGGTGTGTTCGCGCCACCATCCTACTAAAATTGTCATACACATTACGCTTTTTCCATTTCTGTCATTCTTCCTTATCGTTTTTTGTGCTCTGGAGAACGCTCTTCCCCCTGATTGGCTCTTTGTCATGTCGGCTTTTACTGTGGACAGTTTCCATGTCTTCAAAACTTTCTTCACAACAAACGTTTCTTGTCTCTGGAATGTGGTTATGCACTTATTTTCATGGGGTTGTGGCCTGTATACGGGTACTAGTCATTTGTTAGCTCTTGTCATCGGGATAGATTCTTGCCAATGTTGGGGTTCCGTTTTGAACTTGTCTGGGTAGTCTTTTGGTGGAAGATTAACAGGGAGCGTGTCTTTCACGGTCTTGCTGGAATCGTTGTTACACAGTCGTCAAATTAGTCGGTCAACCTTTATGCTGGGAATCGCGGTGTGCTGTTAGAACATGTCACACCTAGTAAGCTGAATAATTGATGGGGATTTTGGTTGTTGACGAAGTTACAGCACACAATTTGTACTCCACTATGATCTCAATTCGCGGGATCTGGGTTACGGAATGCACTTGGCGTTCATGGCCATTTGAGCTAGCAATACCGCCTTAAAGCAGTCGCTACTTCCAGGCGATAGTGCCGAGTAAATGTCAGTGTTGCATATTTCATGCATCCCATAGGTAATTTTGCTTATCGTGTATGCCTAATCTTTAAGTTTTCCAAATTAGGTAATGTTGAACACTGGCAAGGCGCTTTAAAGTGCTCAGAGTGCAGCAATATATCACCGAGGCATATCCTTGAGCCCGCATGAATGACTCACTCACTCGGTTGCTGTTACTAGGCCTCACCTCGTTAAAATGAGGGCAAGTAAAGAGTTTACCCTGCGCCCTGCACTTTAAACAGAGTTAGTTAACTTCACATTCGCAGTCTTAGGCTGCTTATGCTCTACTCCGAAGTGGATCTTTCCTTTCCAATCGTTGAAAATCACTGCCTTTTGGCTCCGGGAAGCAGCTGAGTTATCAATCAAAGTAGACCTGTCCTTTATCACTATATTTGTGGCAAAACAGATGCCAGTTTTTTGGAATGCAATCGAATGAAGGAGACACACTAAATTCTTGCCTTGTGGTCTACTATCACGCATGAAACGTCGCATGTGACCTCAAGCCACGCCGGAGCAACTGAATTGATTCTGGCCCGATTTAGCCACCCTGGTACTCGCGATGGCGGTGACAAGACCGTTTACTACATGGCTCAACCCAGTTGTTTTCGGTTTGTTTTTTGTGGCGTTTGCACATGTCTATTTATAGCACAGTTGTGTGAAACAGCGTGAGTCACGAATGCACTAATATGAAGACCTGGGTGATGGCTTTCACTTGGGTCAACGGTTAGCGAGTGTGAATCAACGCATATCAGAATTGCCTGGACGGTATTTAGTAATCGCAATACAACGGGTCATCGTTAGAGAGCTGCCGCATCTTCCGCAGAATCTGGGTCGGCTTCAGGTCCCCTAACTCATTACGAGGCACGAGCCGTTCCACGCGTTTGCATGTTGAGAGCTGTATCCATTCACAAGACGCTTCTTGTTCTGGACGAAGCAGCACATCCGTCGCTTCGTTTGCCAACTTACTGAGCAGGGCCGGAAAGTATGCGTGAGTATTTTGCATGCTGGCTGGATGTGTGGATGGATACAGCGGTCAGACTCTCTAGGCCTGCGCTTAGAATTGCCAAACTCTGTATAAATAATCCAATAGCAATGTTCCACGTAGGCTATCCCAAGGATTTCCTACTTAAGTGATTCCCTATTCTGGGTTTATTCATGATGGGCCGTCACAGTCACCAATCCATGAAGCACCGAAAAGTCCAACATACTAGCTTTTTTTATCACCATAATGTAAGGTGACTGTTGTCAGGTGTCAAGGCTTATTTCCCAATCCAAAATTACCCTGGTCAATTGGTTTAAATACTGTTTCCAAAAAGTCTTCGAGGTAATGATTTTTCTGTTGCTATGTGAGTTGGGAAACAGCGTGAAACCCGACTCAAATTGACGGGGCCAGATTTGAAGATTTATGTGAGTACAACGATGGAGACGCATCTCTCAAAGAAAAAGGTGGCGATCTGAAACAGGAATATTTGAACCACGCCTCACATATTGAGGGTGTGAGGGGATCTTTGGATGATATTCCCTACCTTTTAATACGATGTGGAAGCTGATTCAACCGAATGTTCACACGAACGACCAGCGAATTTGTGACTTGATGAGGCCGTGCTAGATCATGAGGTCACCAAATACCCTAGCGCTTGGTAAGACCGCAAGATTGGTTTTGTGGAAATCTAGGATTTCTAATGGAATAACTTCAGAGGCCCCTAGACGAAGAGTATTGGTGTGTTTCTAAGAGAGGTGGAGATCTCTTTGCTGCAACTTTCTTTCTTTAAAGCGGATTTTTTTTTAAAATGAACTCATTGTCTCTTCAGAAAATATTTTTGCAGTCACGTGAACCCCACAAGTTATTTTTGCACACCTCCATCTACAAAAATGTTACTTTTTGGCAAACAAATCAACATTCCATAGTGCCTGTTTGCGACTTAGCCGACTCCGACCACAACCACAGAAAACTAGAAACGAATTTTGGTGTGTGGGTTGGCAAATTAGCACATCACACTGTCTTTTTCACGGAAGATAAATTATTGCCTCATAAGCAAAGGACATTCCTATGTTACCTGAGAGGAAATTAATCAAAGTGCTAGATTGTCTTGCCGAGGTATGTGAACTTTTATCCAAAATTACCCACTTCGTCGATCTAACCTGGTCCTATTTCGATGCCTAGAGAATAACCGAATGTGCACAACTGCCAAACATTCTGACGAATTGGCCCGTCAGAACATTTGGAGAGTTGACAGTTCAGTAGGGAAACATTCGATTGTTTGGAATGAAAAAAATTGATTTTGTTGAAGAAATAATGACCTTTGCTTAATAAATCCGTCCAATTCTGTTCCTTTTTGGAAAAATCGAACAAGTTTTATTTCAGATTAGCACCAGGGCTGTGCAAACATCGAGATCAAATTTTTGCCGAGTTCAAATGATGCGTGTGTCCCTGCATCGTCTAAATGAGGGACAATTCCATCCACGCGATTTACCAATTCAGACAGTTAAGCTTCGATTAATGCTTGAGTCAATTTCATTGGTTGTTGACAGTAAACATTTGCCTCGATCGATTTTGTCTTGTGGGCAGCACAGAATGGACTGTATCTTCGTCCTCCCACCTGATAGACAGCATGATCCACTAGTTTACTCAAATATGGGGCCATCGAACATGCATTAATAAGGAAGAGAAGGCATTAGAGTCCAATTTGGCCCCACAGCCGTTTTAAATAGCCAAAAGGCGATTTTCAATGCTAAATTGTTTATTTTCCCCCCTGTCATGTGCGCATGACTTTGCGCTACGCAACCGTGACGCGCAGCATCATTGGTGCTGGATATCTTGCAAAGAGAGGCCTGCTTCGACGCTCACGATGATCGATTGCATCAAAATTGGTCCAACCCGTGTCATCGTCTGGGGTACATCTTAAGGTCAGGTCAATTTTCCAAAAAGTTTATGGGGAACTCTGCGTAGGTGAAAGTAGGGGCGAAGTGTCAAAGGTCAGTTGCGCTGTGACGTGTTTAAAGGGACCAAAGCCACGATATTTTACTGCGTAATTCTTTGCAGCGTCAAGAAATCGCTCCCATAAAACTGTCTTGTGAAATTCGAATTCCTTTTAACACAAAACGCTACCAATCTGTCCAAAAATTATGCTTCAGTTTCATTAAAATATTGCCGGCTATCAGCACATCTAGCTGAATTGTACACAAGACGGTTCACTAGTGTTTGTACCAGGCCTGCAACAAAAGGAATTCAATCGATACTTAAAATCGATTTTTTTATTGTTTTAGTTACCTTTGCTCAGTGTAAGTCGTACCGATTTATATCGATTTTTCCTCTCACTGACTCGTTAATTGGTTCAGTCTGCGTCGCTTCTGTCTTTCTCTTAGCGCTCTATGGATGCAAATTTTTGTGGGTTGTCCTGTTCTTTTTTAAACGCCGTTTAAAACAATGCGCCACCATATGGGGAAGACGTGTATGCACGTGTCCTGCATCACATTTGAACTACAATCGCATTCCTTTCGTTCTCCGCATTCGAATATGTGCCAACTATTATAGGGCTAAATCGGCTTTACTGACACCTCGCACGTTACCAAGTTATCCGGCAACTAGGCACCATAGTCATAGATCATTTTTTCGGTACCGTGATCTAAATTGCAGCAATTGATCGTTTACTTTATTGGTACGGATCAAGTTCCAGATTCCACTGGATCCGCATTCTACTATATCAAAACGCCTTACGAGAACCTCTGATAGATGATAGACCTTTCAGTCTGTTTGCCTACCTCATTTGACTTGCATATTTGGTGTTTTGCCAAGGCTTCGAGTTGTCGAATGCCCGTCAAAGCTCCCAAACGAATCACCTGCTAACCTTTCTGTTTAAACGTGACACGTTGCATCATACTTGAGATGGATTTATGTTGTTGTAGTGACAGGGGAATCAAATAAGCTTTCAATACTGTGATATATGAGACACAGGAAATTGAGTAAAATCTCCACAGGATT